TAGTCTTGTGTACCTGTACCAAAGTGCAGAAATTAATTTTTAATTTATCTCTTGACCAATCTTTTTTAGTTTACAATAAACAGTTTCGGCTTGGCAGACTGGCAATCACTCAATCAGAACAAATTAATTTTGTAATTTGTCCCTACGTTTCGGCTCTGATTAGGGCCTTCTTCAGGGGAAAAATTGTTGGAATTTTCCCCTGAAGAAGGCCCTAATCAGAGCCGAAACGTAGGAACAAATTACAAAATTAATTTGTTCTGATTGAGTGATTGCCAGACTGCCAAGCCGAAACTGTTTATTGTAAAACCTCACAGTCGAACACTCCAACACAATTTTTTAGTTTAGTTCGTTGATTGTGTCCGGTGTCAAACATTTGCATACCAAGGAGTTTAAGGTCGAACCTGGCATTAATGGCATTAATTTGCTTCTCTATTTTCAAGTAGCTTCGTAACAGGATATCGCTCAGGCTTTATACTAGAACTACTTCACTCGTAAAACTAATGGCACCAAAAGATATTCAAAAATTTACTATTTACTAGCTATCGTGGTAGGAACGACAAAATCTCCGCGCAAATAGCTTGCGAGTGAACAAAAACAATAGAGTATGATGAATAATGAGGATGATTGATACTTTACCACAGTGAAATACATAATATGAAAATTGTAAACAGATGTTTAAACAAGAGAATATAATTATGTAGGGGAAATGAATGTAATGTCGGCCTAAATGCCCCTAATTTGGACCCATACATACATTTAGCAATCAACTAAATTTTCAATAGCCGACCAAAAATATCCATTAGTACCGTCTCAATGATGCTTTCATCTAGATAAAATTGGCACATAGCAGCGATGGGCCCAATCTTAGGTCCATAGGCCAACATTAGAGCCATTTCTCCTATATGATCTAAAATTGATTGATTCCAAGTAACATTGAATGTTTTATAAAGGCTAAAATGATTCTTCAAGACCAAATTATGGCTTACAAGACTATGATAAAACCAAAACTTATTACTTGGGATAAGTGTATATGATCCAGAATTCCCAGTTTTTTCTCGGATTTCCCTGTTTGCCCGATTGGATGGAAACCCTGTCATTCGTAATTGTTGCGGGTGCATCTTGAAACCAAACCATGTTTTTAGTCATAAATTCCACTTCAAACATTTAGCTCATTTTGACATAAGAAATCAAAACGTTTCTTACCAAATAAAAACTTTAACCGAAGACAACAAATCAAGAAGACTGGCAACTTTGCCAAAATTCAAGCGACAGATACAGTAGTGCTGCGCTTGAGTGAAGGTGGAAGTAACGCATATAAAAATGAGCAAATACACATGTAACATGAGGATGTAATCTTTGCTATCAAATTCGTTCGAAGCATTTACCTATGAGCGGCAGATGACGCGATTGTACCTGTCTCACAGCGTTCGTATGAGAAAATAGAAGAGTTGCAAGTCTTCTTGATTGGTTGTCTTCGCTTTAACGCTAATGACATAGTTATTATTAGTCTCTAAAGCATCATCCTTCAAAATTTCAAGTAATTTGGTAAACTAGTTAAACGGTTGCAGCTGTTTATGTGTGTGCCATTTTCCACGAATACACCCTTTAGGTTAGCCACAGATTGCCTGTGGGTTTACTATACATGTTATCATAATTTTCAAAAATTACAAAATATTGAAATTTGCCGGAAAGAGCTTCTCAATAATCAATGTTAGCTGCAAACACGCTTATGCAAGAAAATATAGCCTTAAACAGCTCTGAACAGTTTAATCAGCAAACCATCAGCTTTTCCTATGTTTAGAATAACTCAACATTCATTTTCTATTACAAAAAAACAGTAGGTTCTATTGTTTTTTTATATTGTACATTATTTACGGGCCCCCACCACTATTTTTTGGTTGTCCTCCAACCAATTCAACTGATTTTTGCATTGAGAATGTGATTTTCACCATTTCTGTCTGCCCTTCTGTACTCATTTCGATTTACCTCACGAGGTCTAAACAATTTCAATTGTGATCATGATTTTCTATATCATCACTCAAGTTAGCCACAATATGCTCCTCCAGTACACAAAACTGGATAAAATACACAAAGTTCAACAGTTTTGGGTACATTAAAGTGCTGCGAAAAAAAAAATGATTGTTGTTAATTTCATAGCTAATCAAAATAAACAAAGCTGAGAGGCACGCTAAGCTGTTTGTAACTACCTGTTTTGACAGTCGTAGGATGCGTTTTGGTATGCATTATACTGTTAAAAATAATCACAGCGATTATTCACTTCCGCTAATAATTACGCCTTCCGTTTCAATTTACCCCGCATTTCAACTTGCCTCGGTGTACCTTGCATAATTTTGGAAAACGATTCGTACAATAAGACAGACGTAAAACACGATTCAAACACAATCAATACTACTCTACATCTCCAACATATGGTTCGAACAAGTTTTTATTTACTATCACAAGAGTTCACAGACCGGTGAGCGTCACATAAACAACTTTATAGGTCATATTTCGATGTCCAATCACTACCTAAATGAGCTTGTTACTGGAACAAACGTAAACCGCATATCAATGACTCATATTTCACATCATAGTCCACGTTAGTGTGCAATTAAATAATAACTAAATTTAGAAATACCAGTTTAAGAAGCTTGTAAGCTGAACCACTTTACACTCGTGGATCCCGTGATCCCCCGAATCTTGGACGTTAAATCAACAAAAACCTCAAACGTTGAACTTCGAAATAGAACGCTAATACGAAAGATATGTGAAGCAAATCCGGTTGGCTCGTCCACCCATCAATACAATTAGCACTGTTGATGCTTCAAGTAGCCAATCCCCACGAGAAGCAACTATGAATCCCCGTCAAGTGGAAATCATTTACACTGACCATCACACAAATGGCTCTCAGCCTCAACCATCATTAGAAATGCAGATTCACGGCAAAAAGCATCATAATATTGCATAATAATTTGGCACACAAACACATAGCGACAAGGTGACCGCGAGCTCTACACATTGCACAACGTTTCCTAAATTCCCCCCGCGCGATATCCAACATTGGCCGAAGTGGTTGGTGGCGGACAGAAGAGTAGCAAAAAATGAAACGTTCGCATATGCTGCTTGCATGCATACACACCGACACGGAAGCATCGATGTTGACCAAAACAAAACCTACACGCTAACTTGAAAGTACCCATTAATGAGTAAAGTTTCACCCATTTTGAAGAAAAGTGGCTGTGCAAACTATTTACACATTTAATGAGTATCTGTTACCTATTAATGAGTAACTGTTACCCATTAAATATCAATAATGGGTAACAGTTACTCATTAAATAGGTGAACAAATTACCCATTAGTGAGTTAAGTCACATTTCTTCAAAATGGGTGAAATTTTACTCATCAATGGGTACTTTCGAGTTAGCGTGTAGGAAAACCGATATGACTCATAGCAACTACAGGGTAAATTAGCCTTTTATGGACTTTTTCCCATTAGTGTACCAGTTACACTAAGTTTAAAGCATAGAGAGAGAAAAAATTTAATGTTAAGCACGGCAGGAGCTGTCAAATAAACAAAGCGCCCTGTAGAGGACCATTTGTTTTAGTGACTGAATTCATATGTTAAATGTGTTTTTATCCTACACGGTTCATCATAGGATGTAAACAATCCTATAATGGACTCCGGGTGGTCCATAAAAGGTTAATGGTGACTTAAATTTGTATCGCACAAGTATATTAATTTATTTATTTTACGTAGAAGTCACACCAAGTTAAGGATAAACTTGCATCTTATTGAAATACATTCATTATGCTATGTTAAATTAGACAAGTTATACATTACAGTAGTTAGAACGGATATTCGTTATCAATCAGATAACACAGTAGACAGTCAATAATAGGCCAATTTACCCTAGGTATACGATGGTCTCAACCGCTCATAGACCAATCATAGACATGGTCTTTGTGGATTATACCCACATGGGGTTCGGGGGACAGGGGAGGCGATATAAAGAAAGCAAAAAACGTGCTAAAGTAGGTATGGGTAGGTCCGGGGTTTTGTTTTGACTTATCGTATTGAAATCGCATGAAACAAAACACCAACAAGCGTTTACCATTTCTGACCGGGCGGCTGACGAAGAAATGTAGGTCCAAGTTACTGTACCTATTACTACAACCAGGTCAACCGCACAAGCGAAAGTAAGAAAATCAAAATGAAGCAGCAACAGTTTCTGTTTGCATCACTCACTTTTTTTTTCGAAACTGCAACCACACGGCAAGATGGAATACAATCGGATTGCTGTCATTTAAAGCGCGCTCCGTTTGTGCCATACGAAATGGAAAGTAGCTCTGTGGCGGCTGGGTACTTGCGGTAACAGCAGTGAGGCCATAAAGAAGTGAATCTTCTGTGAACTCTTTACCCTTTTACTTGGAAACAAACGCAGCATCCAATGCTTGGAAAGGTTACGAAACGCTGCCAGTGGGTCTTCTTCTGTGGCGCTTAGATGATTAGCTCTAACCCTATAGTTAGCTTAAATGATGCACGTGATGGGCAGTGTTGCCAGTCGTGTGAGGCTAATGTTAGCTTTGCTTGAGAAGGAATAGATTGCTCAGTCTTACAACTCTTCTGAACCGCAAGAAACCACCGATAATAGGCTGGTTGCCACATCAAATAAAGGGTCGTTACTTCATCTCTATACCCTCGTCGGCGTCGATGCACAGCTGATCTTAGGAAACATGCCACGACTGACTTTAGTCATAGTCATCGTCGTCGTCATCGTCGGCACCAAAGAAAGTGAATCACGTCGAAGAAAAGTGAAAGTGGTTATTCCACAATCACTACCATTTCTGTCCCTGAGATGATCCGTCCTTGTTCACACACCAGTTTGATCGCCATATTAAACTTTCCCGTTTTCTTGTTCTCGTCGTTTACGATTACATAACGGTATAAAACCAGACTTCGATTATCTACAATCTGCTTCTTGTTTCTCTTCTACCCCCAGGAACTCCCCAAAGCGCAAGCCTTAATGCAAGACAACCTATCTGCGGATGAAGCCAACCTGCAGACCATCGATCGGGATGAGAAGAAGCCAGACCACAAGCCACAGGAGAAGAAGGAATCGGCCGAAAACACTGAATCCCAAGACGACGACGAATCGGCCGCTGATGGCGAGAGCGACGAAAGCGCCGACATGAACTCTAACAACCGGGTGCGTGTCAAGATGCCTCTGGATCTGGACCTGACCGAGCTGGCTCACGCGATGCTGCGGGAAAACCAGAAGTACGTTTATGGGATTATGTGGTAATCAATTAATGTTTTAATACAAACATTACATTTTTAGGTCCAAAATGAACTGCGTCGTCGAGCGTCGCCGAACGGAGGAACTGGTCGACTCTCCGGCCAAAACTATGCGATTGCCATTCGGAATGGAATTCAACGCAGAAGCCAAGAAGCAGAAGGTTACCGGTGAACGTGTTGCCATCTTCTGCGAAACCGGAAACGAACCAAAGTGAGTCTTGGTAGATGATCACGCTTTGGCACCAACTTTGTGGGTGGAACTTATGCGTTCGGTCCGTATGTGAACGAGATTTCGTCAAAATATTCGACAATATTTTGTGTTATATCGGATGAACTATTCCGAGACAAATGACAACTTTTCTGACCAGGATCAGACACCATTTGCAGCTGTAGTAAAAAAGAAACGGAAAATGAGCGGATATAGAGCAATTCCACGCCAATGACAAATCGGAAAAACTCAACCTTTTCCGATTTGCATGAAACGTTGCATAATTGTTTGTTATTGACAATTATTCACATTTTTGTCAAAATTCGGCCCCATGGATTTTTTATTTATTTTACCTAATGGCGTCTTTGACATTTTGACGTAGGACTACAACTGTGATTTCTGTATGGGGGTACACATTGTGAAAATCGAAAATGGAACATGTAACAAAATTATGAAAGATTTTGAACGTTTATAACTCAGCTACCCCTGGACCAATTTTAATAATGTTATCACCAATCGATCAGAAATATTTCGACGCATCTGTCAAGATTGAGACTTCATCATTTTTTCAAAATGTCACTATTGAAAATTGCGATTTCCCTAACACAGATTTCAAAGTTGAATTTCATCCGGTTCAATAACTCCGTGGTGAGTGGTGGCGTTCTCCAGTACACAACGAAAGGCTGCCTGCAAGCAGCGAGCTGCAGCCGACATTAGCATCCATAGAAGGAGGAAGCATCCGCACCACTATTGATCGGAATCAGTAGCTCTTCGTGAGTCGCTGTGGGCCATCTAAAGAGTATAAACAGAGTATAAACAGAGAGAACTCTGCTCAAATTCCTATTCCTGCACAAAACACAAGCTCCTGCTGCAGTTAACAAATAAGATTTATTATATAAGTCCACGTAGTCCTACGTCACCATTGCGTACAACTCCATAGGGCTGTCCCTTATAGTTTTTCAAAATGTTGTCGCAAGTAAACGTCACTTCTGATTGAAATGACGTCTGAGACAAAGTTGTAGAGAAAAATAATGTTTTTTTGGAAAAAAATAATAATAATACGCTGAATCCAATGGCCATTTCGAAAAATTGTTGATTTTCCTGATTATATTATGTTTCGTATTCCCTTCAAAAGTAAATATTCAAAGAAGAAAATATTTTCTTCTGTATTAATATTCGAAGAAGGAAATATTTCCATTTTTAATTATATATTTAAATAAGGGAATATATCTTTATTTATTAAATACTCATAGAAGGGAATATTCCCTTCTTTACTGAATATTTAAAGAGACAATTTCCGTCTTATATTTAAGGAACAGAATTTTCCCTTCTTCATTAATTATTCCAAGGTGGGAATGTATCCGTGTTTATTAAATATTCAAAGAAGGGAATATTAATTTCTTTATTAAATATTCGAAGAAGGGAAAAGCCTCTCCTTTACTATATTTTTTGGAGCAGTGAAGATAAGGTCACAAAATGAAAAACCCCTTGGTCTCCTAAAATCCATTGATCCATCAAGAAGTGTTCATCTTTTTTTGGTATAAACGAAAGAAGAAAATTTCCTTCCCCAAAATATTCCCTTCTTTAGATCACGTACTGTAGAAAACTACTTAACTGTAATAATTTCAGGGTAATGTCATAAAGTAATCTATAAGTGTGCTAAACAGCAAACAAAGGTACAATTTAAAATTAAACAACTCATGGAATGACCTGGTTGAATCAGTTTCTATATAATATTCGTCAACTTTTTTTGCTGTGTACACAGCAAAAAATAAATTTTAATATTGCATCCAAGAGGAAGCACTTCAAGCATGTCGAAAATCTCATGTAATTTTTATGGCCACCAAAATAAACAAATGCAATTAAAGCAGCGTAATGTCAGTTCATGCACTGTATTAATGATAATTTTGTCCTTTTTAGCAAGTAATATTAAACCATATTTTCGACACGATTGAAGTGCATACACTTTGATGAGATATTAAAATTATTTTTTTGCTGTGTACATTACCCCGAATTTCATTGCTCCAGATGTAATTTCCCCGAACGACCCAGTAATCAATAGAAGTAGAATCTCATTCGGAGAAGTGACATTCAGGATAATGTAGCACAACCTTTATTGTGTCAATTTAAGATTTGTGAAAAAATTAGAACTTTTCGGGAAACAATACGGTCCGAGAAACAATACGGTTCGAGAAACAATAATGTACAAGCAAACTCATGATTAAATTTATTTACCAAACATGCGATGTGATCTTAACTAAAACATATGAAGGCATCTATCTCCCAATGCATACACTTCTTGATCTTGTAATATTTTGGCCAAACCATGTTGCCACTGGTACTTATAAAACTTTTTCTGCCACCACCCTTCCAGGAACGAAGACGCCGAACCCGTCCGTCAAGTCCTCATTCCAATCCCACCAGTCCGTTCCTTTGGTCCAATTACCCATCTGCCCCAGCAAATGCCACCACAACCCATCATGCGCCAGATGGCCCGGCCAATGTTCCCAATCCCGATGATGAACCACCAACAGTCCCAACAGATGCCCCCAATTCCCGCCCAAATGATGCAAGCTCCCCACCCGGAAGACCCCATGATGCGTCCCAACTTCCAAGTCCATCATCAACCAATGATGCACTCTGCACAACCCCAGCAGCCACAACCGACCTTCCCTCAGCAGATGCAACCACCACGTGCCGAGGTCCGCATCCAGTTCCAGCGTATCCCAATCCCGGAAGCTATCCGACCCTTCCTGCCACCACAGGCTCTCCGTAACGGCCCAGAGCAAAACGACGTCCAGATCCGTGAAGTCCCACTAGAGATGGCTCTGCAGAAGGTCGGACTGTCGGCCGATGAACTGAAGGACATCCACGAGATTGCCGCCCAGAAGTTCACTGAACAACTAAAGCAACTGATCGGAGAGATGGCCGATTCAGAAGAAAGCGATGAGGAAACCGACTCGTATCGCACCACCCCTGTCCAGGAGCCCGCCTCGCAGCACTCCGAGGAACGGGAACTCCAGGAACAGCAACCACCTCGCCCTCAGGAACCAGCGCCTCATGTACACAACCTCCAACCGCAGATCCTTCCCATGGGTCGCGCCCAGTACGCCCGATCTCTGGTCAACCCAATCAACCTTCCCGGTAAGGTCGTAGAGTCATCCGTATCCGTTTCGTCCGATGAAGAAGCGGAACGTCCACACTGTAAGTTTTTCCTCTGTTTCACCACCCACCACAAACTGACCCTCTAACTCCCACTTAATTTTTGTAGACGTCCAACCACGATCGGTCTAAGCACCGAGGATGCCAGCACACAAATTTAACCAAGCGCGCAAATGTTTTAACCCCTGAGAATTGGAACATTCCCGCACGTTTGCTCATGTGATTGTAAAAAAAAAAATGTTTTGAAGAAACTATATACAAAACTAAAAACAAGCGATTAGTATTAGCCCACGGCGAAACAAGGAGGGATAGGATGAACAAACAAACAAACAAACAACAAACTAGGAGATGTGTATGTGTAAATAATTGTTAGAATCGGAGAAATTTTTTTATCCACCAAAACAACCGATCCCTCCAAAATACAAACAAAAATAAAGCTAATCCAATTCTAGAATGCAACAAATGAATAATGCTAAAACCTATGAATGCCACAAAAGATGTCAAACAGCAGAATCACTGAAAACAATACAAAAATCCAAAAGCATTAAACAAACCCAACTGATGATCATTGATGTTCTAGAATACAACTGAGAGGTTTCCTAAATATGTAGTAGCGGTAGTGAGTAGTGAAATGAGAGAAAACGCATAAAGCGAAGATATTGTTTATAAAAGTTTTTAAAGTAAACTTGGAATTAACGTACAATTGGATTCGTTGTAAATCCACCAAAATTTTATCGTTTTGGAACATTTCAATAAAGATGTTTTTACTAATTATAGCAAGGGGTGTTTTATTTTGAACAATTTCCGGTATAATCGTAATGCAAGGTCCATTACCATTCGAGCACCAAATTCGGAACGGCTAAGAACATTTCATCGTAATCGGATCTGAATGAAAACAATTTTGCTAATAAAACATTATTTCTTCTCATAGTCGTGTTAGATGTTCAAAGTACTTGTATAAAATAAATCTGGATGCATAGTTAAAAAAAATGTTATTAAGAGAACCTATTTTGGAAATCGACCATGCGTTCCATATTCTGAACGCTCGATGTTGAATGCTACCCGGGACAGCCTTTTGTGTAAGCATTTTTTTTTTGATTTGTAAGGAACACTTCACGATAGCCATCAAATGATGTGTGTAGATTGAAAATTTAGCTTTTGATGATCGAAAAATCGAAACTACAATGCAGTTTTTCTATTTTCCGAAAACATTGTTGTCTTTGAGGACTTTCTTAGCTGACTAGTTCTTCAACTTAAAACTGCAAGTAGTGAAAATGGATGTAATGTCGGCCTAAATGCCCCTAATTTGGACCCATACAAAAATTTAACAATTGATTAAATTTTCAATAGCGACCAAAAATATCCATTAGTACCGTCCCAATAACGTGTTCATCTAGAAAAAAAAAATGATAAATAACAGATTTTTAGCGATGGGCCTAATCTTAGATCCATAGGCCAACATTAGAGGCTTTCCCCTACATACAGTAACAGTAGTAGAGTAACCCTTTGTGACAATTTTATGCGTACAAAAAGTCGTAAACTGTGCTCATAGTTCTATTATTTTCACAGAAATTATCAAGATTTGTCAGAAATTCAAATTATCGAAACTAGTTCATAACTTCTTTAATAGCCTAGAGTTTCCTGATGTTTTTTAAACTGCTCAAAATATTTCTCAATTTCCTTAAAATTCTCTAGACTGCCATGCCGTAGTATTTTTTTTTTGAAAGAACCATTTTACTGTAATTGATTTAATTACCTTTAAGTTCCACAATTTTCCTTAAGTTTAATAAAGTTTATAAACGCTCACGGAACTTTGCCGTAAATCACTTATTTTCCCTGGAAGAAGTTTTGTATGCTTACCTTTATTTCTCTAAATTAATCAAATGTTCCGGTGAATTTTCTAATATATATATGTTCAGAATCTCGAGCTATAGCATACGCGAGAATTGTACACGTTTACAAGCGCCACGTGGTAAGAAAATTCTGGGCTACTGTCCACCAGCCAAAAAGTCTTGACCCCCTGAACAAGTTTGCCGAAAACAGTAACTTTCTATCTGCTCAGGATCTCGAGCTATTGTATATGCGAGAATTGCATGTGTGTACTAGCACCAAGTATTGAGAAAATTCTGAACAACTGTCCACTAACACTAAAAGATCTTGACTTCCTGAACAACTTTGCCAAATACATTTACTATTTATCTGGTCAGGATCTAGTGATGTATCACATGCGAGAACTTAACATGTATACGAGCACTACCTAGTGAGAAGATTCTGAACTACTGTTAACCAGCAAAAAGGCTATGATCTCCTGAACAGCTTTGCCTTAGACAGTAACTTTCTATTAACTCAGGATCTTCCACGTAGTGAGAATTTTCTGAACTACTCCACCAACGAAAAGATCTTGACTTCCTGAAAAGCTTTGCCGAAGACAGTAACTTTTTATCTGGTAAGGATCTAGAGATATATAAGTTAAGAACTTCGGAAACTTTGAAATAACGACTTGACTCGTTCGAGATCGAAACAGAATTAATTTTATTTCTTGATATGTTTAACTTATCCTAACATTCTTGTTGCTATCGTCGTCGTCGTTGAAGGGTCGTTGTCGCGTATGCTGCTGAGTCGGCATTCTAGGTGCCATCGACAGTCTCGGTGCAATCGCGTCGATGGGTGGTGCGAGTACAATGTTGCCGGGAGGTGGATGATGATGATGATGATGATGATGATGGTGCGCTGGGTCAGTCAGTGCTACTGCCGTTGGTGTTCGCTTGCTAATAAGGCGAGCGATCTAGCTAGTTGTTGTTGCTGTTGCTGTAGATGATTTATTTGGTCTTCATTGGTTGGGTGGCTGCAAAGGTTGGGGTTCGAGATGGCTTCGGCTTTAACTTATATATGCGAGAATTTTACATGTATACTAGCGCCACGTATTGAGAAAATTTTGAACTTTTGTGCACTAAGAAATAGGCTTTGATCTCATAAACAACTTTGTCGACGACAGTAACTTTCTATCTGGTCATGATCTCGAGATATATCACATGCGATAATTTCACATGTATTCTAGCTCTACGTAGTGAGAAAATTTTGAACTACTCTGCACCAGCGAAAAGGTTATGATCCCTAGAACAACTTTGCCGAAGACAGCAACTTTCTATCTGGTCAGGATCTCGAGATTTTCCATGTTGTAACCAATTAAGTCAAATCCCACGTAGTATGGACACCGTTTACGCGGTTTCCTTTCACATTTTCTCTATAAACCGCATTTTTTGGGGGTTAATTGTGATAAAAGTTTAGCTTTTTTAGTTAAAAACAAGTTTTTCCGTTGGTTTCATATCGATTGGTAGCTCGGCTGCAAAATGGCAATGGAAAACTCACACTGTTGTACAAAGTACAACGCGCGAGTACTCGTGTTACAAAAGTTGGCGCGAGTAACGGAGGGTTAAGTAACGTGGTCATCGAGCTCTCTATGCTGGAAAAGGCGAGCTCTATTTTCGGTTCGGTCGAAGATCTTTCAGGGTGACGAGTGAACCAGGAAAGCCGGGAAAAAGTTGGGATTTTATTTTCACCAGGAAAGACCTGGAAAAAGTCAGGTATTTTAATAGCCCACGGGGAAAATAATCTTGTTTCAATAACTTCAACAGTTTATGATATTGGCACATGTTTCAAAAAAAAAAATAAAAAAAAATATAAACTAATTAAAAATTTTTGAACAGAATTAACCTTAAGAAAGGGAGTAAATAATGCAATAATATTTATCGTATGTTCTTCAAGATTTTTTTTAATCAATTGGATTGACGATAGCGAAGTACTTCGATGATTGCAGAATCGCGTAAAAATTGACAAGTGAATATACTGTGGCTAATTGTTGAGTCACTTGCATGTATCACACTTAGAATAGATCGCAGAATTCTGAGAATAATATTACCAAAGTTACTCTGTAAACGAAAACTTCACAATTTTTTCTGTAAAATCGATATGTTTTCATAAATTCACCGATAGATCGGTGAAAACAAACAGGTTTACAAAAATCTGTGAAATAATTTCGGATAATTCGGTGACGTAGCTTTTTTTCAACAAACTTCTGTAAATACAGTTGTCAGCCATATGACAGTCGAAGCGTTCCATTATAAACAGTTTCAGTTTTTGTGGTTTTTGTACACAATTTGTGAAGCCGTTGAAAGTGAAAATATATGGAAGACATTTTAAAAACTCTGCAGGGGAACAACGAAAAATGCCTCGGTATGTTTCGTAAGTATGCTAAATAGCGATGCCGGTGGTGTAGTGGTAAGCGCGATTATCTCTCACCCCACCAGGCCTCGGTTCAATCCCAGTCGGCGCGGTTCATTAGTTGATGGGTCGATAGGTAGGGTCCAGGTGTGGGAGCTGCCTCCCTGGCGTCGGTAGCATATGTCGGTATGTTCGTAGAATGATGTAAAATAGAATACTGTGACATTTCTCAAATCAAACGTTTGGTTTCCAATAAGTAGGTGCTTAGTACAACATTAATTGAAAATTAGGGGGATTCAGTTATTAAATTTCAAAGTCAGAGCAAAAGCTCGTATACAGTTTCTCCACCTTTTAATGTTTTGATAGTAAGAATGATAGTTAAGGTACATCGGAGTAAGTTGAAACGGTACGTTTATCTCTTAGTGTAAGTGAATATTCACTGTAATTATTTTTGAGAGGCATTGTGTACTACCGCAAACTACTATATTAGAAAAAAATCTCAGCGATTATTCCCTTTCGCTAAGAGATACATGTACCATTTTCCCACTACGTCAAATGTATGTCGTGTTTTTTCTATGATTATAACATATGGACATGAACAAGGTGTGTTTGGTGAAAACTTCTACCTTTCTAGTTTCTAATAATAATATTAATACCTATTTGTCCTATATCTCCAATCCATCCTAGAAAAACTATGCATTATCTGTAACAGCCCGCTGAATCTGGTGGTGACATATGCAGATGACATATCGATAATCATAACTGACGACCGCAAGCTGCCTATCATCAAGCAAGCTTTCCTGGACTTTGATCGTGTTTCCGGATCTCTTTTGAATTTCAACAAAACGTTCGCCGTCAACACTTGGTTCCAACGTACAGGAGACGATACTGTTTGGCCAAGTGGCCGAGAGTCAATTAAAATTTTGGAGATAACATTCTTCAACTCCCGAAAGAAAACAATTGACTTCAACTGGGGAGATGTTATCAGAAAAGCGGCGCCGGTGGTTTTTAAGGTTTTTTACTGCGAACATACGTCCTCCGAATAGCATCAAAATGAAGGTGATCGGGTGCGCCTGCAGTCAAAAGACATGACCATGGAATCAAAGCAATCTAGAT